TCTGATTGTTCTAGCCTCTGCCAGTGGGTGGAGTCCAGACCTGGGATCCAGGGGCCCTGTGTTCTAGGGAAAGGAGCTTTGCTGGTGTAGTGGATAAGGCATGTGGCTGCTAACCAGAAGGTCAGCGGTTCAAATCCACCAGCCACTCCGTGGAAGAAAGATGGGGCAATCTACTTCAGTAAAGATTTATAGCCTCGGAAACCCAATGGGGGTCACTATGAGTCGGAATCAACTCAATGGCAGTGAGTTTGGTTTTGGGTTTTTTGTATTCTAAGGAAAGGAGCACTGGTGGTGCAGTTGTTAAAGAGCTTGGCTACTACCCGAAAGGTTGGCAGTTCAAACCCACCAGCCACTCTTTGGGAGAAAGATGTGGTAGTCTGCTTCTGTAAAGATGCCTTAAAACCCTATGAGGCACTTCTACTCTGTCCCATGGGGTTGTTATGAGTCAATATCTACTTGACAACAGTGGGTTTTGTGTTCTTGGGTGGGCTCTGCTATGTGACCTTGGACAAGTTGCCCAGCCTCTCTGAGCCTCAGATGACCTCTTAAGCCATTCCCAGCTCTGACACTGTGGGACTGTGACTTGTTCTCTCCAGGCTGAATAAGTGAGTGGGAGGGGATCAGAAGGAAGGAAGTGAACGTATACGGTTTCCTACGATATGCTGGGCACCAATCTAGGTGCCCTGGTATCATACCTCTGATCTCCCAACAGACTGTGCAGAGAGTCTGCTGGGGCCCTAGGGGGTTAGACTGGGGGCTCAGGGACTCACATGGAGGTGCTGGAGCAGAAAGCTGGGGGGCTGAGAGCTTGGAGGGGAAGGGGCTCATTTGGCCTGGATGGGAGCTGGTGGGTGGGGTGGTAGATGACAGTGGCTTGGGTGCGACTGCTGTGTGCCCCCCAACTGGCTCTTCAGGGGAAGGGTGTTTTCTTCTGCTTCTCTCTCCCACCTGAGGTGCAGGATGCATGCACGCACGCACCTTGGTGGCACAGGTGGTGGAACAGGTCTATAGAGGACAATGCAGCTTTCTGTGAGGCGGCTGCTTGTTGGGTAGAAACTCTGATTTGCTGGCCTGAGTTTCTTCAGGTCGTGGGGGAGGCAGCTGGAGTCTGGGACAGTGAGAGGTGACCTCTCTCATCCTTTAGGGAGGGGAGAAGGTGGCGTCAGGCTGTCCATCTGGAGAGCGATCATGGAGAGAAACTGGCTGGAGTCTCCAAGCCCCTGTTAGGTACTCGGCTCCTTAGCAGGTGGGGGGCAGCACTGGACAGTACCAGCCTCAGGCACTGCTCTCGGGAGCTTGCAGGTGGCTGGGGGGACATGATTGCAGACCCCCTGCAAAATTCTGGGGTAGCTGACTATGAGGATGGCAGCCAGGTTTCAGGAAAGACCCTGGTAGTTCGTAAGGGGCAACACCCTCCCACTCCCCACATTTGCCATGGCAAAGGGCCCCCATTTCCTATGAGGACACCAGGACAAAGTCTCAGACCTGCTGGACAGCCTATGGCAACATCTCCTGTGAGGACCCCAGGGAAAGGACAGGAAGATGGTGTCCATCTCAGTGTGTTTGGGGTGCCTCATTATAAGGGGAATATGACACATTAAAGTAAAAAGTATGGAAAGAGATCGAGAGACCATCCTGGGGAGTAGTCAAAGGGGCCAGGAAAATTACCCTAGAGAGGAGGAGGCACAGGGAGACGTGAGCTGGCTGCAAGTATCTGAAGGATATTTGTCCTGGGAGAGAAGAATTTAATTGGTTCTGTGAGGTCCCAGCCCTGACTGGGGAGGGGGCGGCGTTAGAGGAGATGGGAGAGGGAGGCAGGGAGGGTATGATCTAATACAAATGGATGAAAGTCATTTGGGCCCGATTTAAATTAACTGCTTCTTTTGAGAGTGCCCCCGCCAACTCTGACACATGCTATTGTGTGACGCACAATACTCAGTTCCCCATCACAGGGAGTATTTAAGCAGAGTCTGGAAAGTATGGAAGGATTCTTACATTTGGATGATATACTGGACTCCAAGGTCTCCTCTAAATCTGTGAGAAGTCACACTACAATATCAAACCTGAACATATCATTAGTGTGGGGATGATAGAGGAACAGTGGGGTCCCAGGTAAGGGGGAGACTGGGTAGCTTGCCATGGTTGAGATCACAGGACTTTGGCATGAGCAGATCTGAGTTAGAGCCCTCTCTCTGCTGCTGAGTAGCTGTGTGATATTGGGCAAGTTGTTTCAAAGCTCTGAGGCTCAGTTTGCTCTTCTGGGAAGTGGGGAGAATGGTGCTGGGTTGGACCAGGGCTGACTTCATAGGGTCCTGCGCTTAGAAGGGTGCTGTGTTCAGTCTGATGCTCTGCTGTAACTATCTTGAAATTCTTAATAATTTTTAAACAAGGGCCTTGTATTTCCCTTTTGTACTGGGCCCTATAAATGATATAGCCAGTCCTGGGGAGGACTGACCATTGCCTGTGACAGGGATCTAACCAAAACTGTCCAGATCTGGCTGGAGGCTCAGCTGGACCCAGGCCTCCAAAGCTGCGACCAGGACTTTGTCCCCTTCTGTTCCTCGGCCCTGCTCTCCATGTGGCTCCCTTCTCAGGACGGTTGTCCCCAGGGTGACTGAGGTGGCCACTGGCAGCTCGGGCTCTCAGCCCACCAGCTTAGGGGAATAAGAGGGCAGGTTTAGGGCACCTACCCATCCCTGAACCACTTGCTGTGCCCAGGGTGTAGAGGGCACTAAGTGGCCAGCCTGGGTTTTATGTTCACTCATAGTGGTATGGGGGTGGGGCTTCTAGCCCCAGGCGGTGATTGATGGAGGTCCCCCCAAGGAAGGGAATTGTTCTTTCGAGAAGGGAGAGTGGGTACAGGGCAGAAGGAAACAGCAGACAGCCCGCAGGCATGAGTGAGGTAGATCATTAGCATCGGCTCCTCCTCCTCCATGCTCCTTCTCGGCACAGTAGCTGCCCAGTTGCCAGGGTGACCTCCCTGTGCTCCCAACTCAGGTCTCCTGGGTAGTTGGATCCCAAGGCAGAGGCTCCAAGCTGAGCCCGCCTGTACGGCTGTGGTCCCTGCGGCCTAGCTCAGTCACACTGTGGGCTGGAGGATGGTGCAGCATTTCCGTGGAAACTACCCAGCCTCCGTGGAAACCACCCAGCCTCTATCACCTTTGCATCTCAGAGGCCGGATGGGAAACAGGGAAGTTGGGGCTGCTGTAGCAACTACGGAGGAGTATAAATAGAGCCTGGGGGGTTGGTGGGTGGGTGGTGAAGGATGTCTGAGGGGTACTCTCCATGCAGATGCTCCTGGGGATCTCCCTCCTCTCCATGCCCCAGGGCCCCCCCATTCTCTGGGGAGCAGAGGTGCAGCAGAGATGGTTGGGGCAGAAAGACCCAAGATGTACAAGCAGCCAGCCCCAGCTGTGTGACTCAGGCAAACTGTTTACCTTCTCTTGTCCCCGGTAAAACTGCTCTGGCCTGCTTCAAGGTATGGGCATGTGGTTTAAATGTTGATCGAGCCTCACGGGGAGAAGTTGGGTTCCAGAATCAGTCAAAAGCCAAACTAGTTGCTGTCCCGTCCTGTTCTCTGAGCACAGCCCCGAGGCTGTCCCATGAGTTCTATGATCACCTGGGTGACAGAGTAGAACTGTCTACAAAGGGTTTCCAGTGGCTGATCTTTCTGATGTAGATTGCCAGGTCTCTCTTCCAAGGTGCCTCTAGGTGGATTTCAGAGGCCTGGGTCCAGTTCTCAGCATCTCTACATGTTCGCAGTGTGACCTCATACAAGCTAATTAACCTCTCTGGGCCTCCTTTCCTGCATCTCTGACATGAAGGTCAGCTGTGGGGATTAAGTGGAAATAACACGTTAAAAGTGCTTAGTGTCTGGGACAGAATCCATATTGTTAAGAGCCACTCTTCTTATCACTGTGATTAGTTAGTGACAGGAAAGGTTTGTAAATTGTAGGGCTCTGTAATGGGAGGGGTGGGAGAATCGTGCTCAGAACCTTATTTAGGGGGAGAGGTGTGGAGTGTGGTCACAGGGGGCTTATTTCCCTGGGGTAGTTAAAGGAGTAGGCCAAAGAACAAGGGCCATGGGTCCATGTGGGTTCTCTGAGCACAGTCCTGAGGACATGGAGAAGGAGACCCAGGCTGCCTGTGGGGAGCAGGAAGAATCCCCATGCACAGGGCTTCCTGACGCAGCCTCTGAACCCCCTGCCTGGAAGGCCCAGCCCATCTCTCCCAACTCCTCTTTCTCAGGAACTAAGGGGCGGGTGTGTGGCTATCCCCTGGGCGCCCTTTCTCCCTCCCAGGCCCCTGGCATTCCTGCAGTCGCAGCAGGGGATGGTGACCAGCCTTTCCATTCCTGTGTGCCCTGGGTCCACAGGAGAAGCCGGGGCAGACAGCAGTGCAGTGGGGCCAGGTTGGGCTCGCACAAGGTGGCAGCACCCACTTGTGCCTGGGCTGAGGTTACCTGAAAAGGGGGGCCTGGCCTTGGTGAGCACAGGTAGTTTTGGGTTTGCCTCACTTTGCACAGCAGACTTGTTCCTGAAAAGCTGCTGTAAGCACCACTCTTTGGGGCGGAATCCTTTTGCTCCCCAATCTCCCAACTCCTCGTCTGCTTTATCTGTAAACCAGTGCTTTGTCTATGAAGACCGCAGGAGACCAGTGTCCCTGAGGCAGAGTAAGCCAGAACAGAGGAAAAGAGGTCTGGGAGAAGCCAGGGGCCTTGTAGGCCACTGAGAGGATGCTGAGGGTGGTGGGAGGCCACAGAGGGACTCAGTGATGACAGGAAGGGGCTGCTGAGTGCAGAATAGACTGTAGGGGCAGCAGTGGTCGACACTGACTGCGTGGGGCTGGCTCCCAGGTAGTGCAGGGGAGAGGCTGGACTAAAACAATGAAACACTCTAGAGCTGTACTGTGTCCCTAGGGTGGCTGTCGGAGGGGGCCGTTCACGTGACAGGTGTGGGTTTCAGGCAGTTTGACCCAGGTCTTTGCCCTCCTCTCTGCAGGTAAAGCAGGAGATGGGCAGCATCGTCCTCAAACTCATCCGGAGCTACAAAGGCAACGGCAGCCTTGAGGACAGCTTGCAGGAGACCTGGGACTACGTGCAGGCGAACGTAAGGCAGGAGGCAGGCCGCACAGAGGCTCTCCGACCTGTGTGTGTCTGAGTGTTTGGGTCCCTGTACCCGTGTGCCTGGGTCTGGTTGTCCCTGGCACTTGTGTGTGTCTGAAAAGGACACCGTGAGTGTGTGTGTGTGAGTGTGTATCTATTGGGGAGTGGGGGTTTCCTAGCAGCCCCCTCTCTGGCATCCCAGCTAGCACCACAGTTCCTTGCTCAGGGTCCAGGGTCTCAGACAATTCCTTGGCTTATGGTACCCTTATTTGTGGCAGAGAGAGAGGGCAGCTCTCACCCTTTCACCGCCCCCAGCCTGGGAGTGTTGAGCGCTGCCCCATGGGTGTTCAGAAACCGATGCCGAGGCTCATAGGCTGATGGTGGTCTGAGTGCAGGCTACCTCTGGGGGAAGGTAGTGACTGGGGAGGTCCTGAGGGAACCCTCTGGGGTGACGGGAATGTTCCATCCGAATCTTGACCTAGGTGGTGATGATGTTAGTGTAGCATCGGAGTAGAACTGGGCTCTGTAGGGTTTTCACGGGCTGATTTTTTTGGAAGTGAATTGCCAGGCCTTTCTTCTCAGGCCCTTCTGGGCAGGCTCCAGCCTCTAGGCTTTCAGTTAGCAGCCCACCGCATCGCCCAGGGCCTCCTGGCCTTTCGGTGTCTGTTTCCTGAAGGTCCCTTTCAATCCCCTGTGGCTTGCAGAAGCCATAGTGAAGCCCAAGCTCTGGTCCTGGAGGATGGGCTGGGATCAGCGGGGGCTGGAAGTGGCAGATGTGAGCCTCTGCCTGGGGACGCACTGCCTCTGCCAGGAGGGCCCCAGCCTGAGGTGGGCATGGGCATGAGCAGCCTGTCCCTGTCAATGCCCAGGTACGGTGCTGCGGCTGGGTCAACTTCTACAACTGGACGGAGAACGCTGAGCTCATGAATCACACGCACATCACCTACCCCTGTTCCTGTGAGGACAAGGGGACAGAGAAAGACGGGCTCGTGAAGAAGGGCTTCTGCGAGGTGCCCAGCAACAGCACCCAGAGTGGCAACTACCCTGAGTACTGGCCTGTGTACCAGGAGGTGTGTGGAGGGCTGGAGGGCCGGGGTGGGCTCCAAGGGCTTTAGGAGCTCAGGGACACCCCGTGGGTCTAACCACTCAGGCCTCCCAGGCTTGTCAGGGCCACTGCTCAGTTCTCTCTCCCTTCCTTTCCCTCCTCCCTCCCACTGCCCGCTGGCCCGTCCTCCTGCTCCCTTCCTCCCTCCCTCTTCCTCCCTCCCTTCTTTTCTCCTCCCTCCTCCCTCCCTCCCTCCCTCCTTCAGTTGTCCCTTCCTTTGATTCATTTAATCTTTGCCACTTGTGCTTTCATTTCTTGATTTATTCAAAGACTACACTGAGCCCTCTGTGCAGGCCCTGTGGGCTGGTGGGGCCCTCGGGGTGCTTCTATCTAACGGTGGGATGTGGCCCAACGTGGGGTGATGTGAGGTCATGTTCTCTCCTGCAGGGCTGCATGGAGCGGGTACAGGCGTGGCTGCAGGAGAACCTGGGTGTCATCCTGGGCGTGTGTGTGGGCGTCGCTGTCACTGAGGTCTGGGTCCCCTCCTCTCCAGCCCTTCCCCAGTAGCCCTTTGGCCTCTAGAGGCCCTGCAGCACCCTGGCCCGGCATGGAGGTCTGGGGCAGACCTGTGTGTTGAGCTGGACAGGTGCTACTTCCCGCCGCCTGGTGTGGCTGGGGTGCGGGAGGCGGACGGGCAGGCCTGCATCCTGCCTTCCTTCTCCAACTCTGTCTGTCCCTCAACAGCTCCTGGGCATGCTTCTGTCCATCTGTCTGTGCCGGCACATCCATTCTGAAGACTACAGCAAGGTCCCCAAGTACTGAGGCAGCTGCTGTCCCCACCTCCCTGCCCAATCCCCACCCCACCCCCACCTCAGGGCTCTCCGGAGCCTCCCTGGCTCCCCCTCCAGGCCCACCCCCTCCTCACTGCCACACCCCTCGCCCTTCCTGGGCTGGCTGGAAGTGGGGGCTTTCGGGGGCCTGATGCCTCTCCCTGACTTTCTCCTGCCAGCTGGAGCCCTGATCTGTGGCCTCACCACCACTGCTCCCAGGGTTCTCTCGGCAGTGTCCCGCCCCGTCAGGGTGGCCATGTATATTGTATATTATTGTTGGTGCCGTGGAGTCGGCTTCGACTCAGCGACCCTGTGTACAACAAAACGAAACACTGCCGGGTCCTGCACATCCTCACAGTCCTCGCCACGTTTGAGGCTGTTGTCACAGCATGTCAACCCGTCGCATTGAAGGGCTTCCTCTTTCCACGGACCTTCTGCTTTACCAAGCGTGATATCATTCTCCAGGGACTGGTCCCTCCTCATAACATGCCTGACATCCGTGAGACAAAGTCTCGCCACCCTCGCTTCTAAGGAGCATTCTGGCTGCACTTCTTCCGAGACATGTATATTGTATAGGGGAAAGCACATTAAAGCATGGGGGGGTTGCATAGGGTGGGCACCCTGGGCTGCCAGGGGACTGCCACTGTGGGGTGGACTTTTTTCCACTGTGATGCTTATGTCTTTGGTTTTCACATTCTTACTAAGGGTAGTGGGTGGGGGTGGGCGGTTCCTGACGTTAAGGGGGAGCACCCCTTCCCTTGGCCTGCCTGGCCCCAGCCCTCATCCAGGCAGCTCAGATCAGCTGGGGCCAAGCAGAACCTAGATAGGCTGGGCCAAGAGGGTTCTGATGGACGTGTCCTGGGCTGCTTAGAGGTGAGCTATGAGGGCTCAGCCCAGAGCTGGCCCTGCATCCCCTGGGATCCTGAGCTGTCCAGAGGGCAGGGTGGGGGTGGGGGTGGAGAGGAGGCTCTCCTGGGAGAAGCTGGCCTGGCCTTCTTGCCCGGCTGTCCTCTGTGCCCCAGGAGTGGCGTGGGTGAGGCCGTGCCTTGTCAGGGAGTGGGTCGGGGCTCTGCGTGCACGGTTCTGTAAAACGTACTCTGTGAAGACTATTAAAGAGGATTTGTAACAACCCAGCCTGCCACAGGGGGGCGCTGCTTCCTGGGCTCACTGGTTTGGTGGGTTCTTCGCTGCTGTGCCTCGGGAATGGGGCTCTCGGGTGGTGTCTCAGCCCCTGCTCAGCCTGGCACACTCAGAGAGGGCCGGGCTCCAGGGCCGGGGAGGGAAGGGGGCACTGCCAGTCTTCAGGGACAGCTGGAGTGTGACTTGTGTGTTGTGACAGGTGTGGACCATACCTCTGAGCTCCTGCTTCTGAGACCAGGTACACGTTTCCCCCGTAAGAAGTGAGCTAGTGAGGGGGCTCAAAGGAGCCACAGGACACGACACACTTAGCCTGTCTTTCTAGAACATTCATATTTTATAAAAATTGTGGAGGAAACATTTTCAAATTAAAGAAACAAAATGGAGTAAGATGTGTACAATTCAAAGAGCTTTTTAAGGTGAAATATGAGACTTCAGGAAGTTCATACTTGTGCTTGGCTCCTGCAGCTGAGCCCCTCACCCCTATCCCTGCCCTTAAAAAAAAAAAAAAAAAAAAAAACCTAAAAATCACTGCCGTTAAGTCGGTTCTGACTCATAGCTACCCCTCCTTGGGTTTCCGAGGCGGTATCTCTACGGAAGTAGATTGCCCAATCTTCCTTCTGAGGAGTGGCTGGTGAGTTTGAACTGCCAGCCTTCTGGTTAGCAATCAAATGCCTTAGAAACTAACTCAAAAAACCAAACTTACTGTCAAAGAGTCGATTCTGACCCCTAGCAACTCCCATTGGATTTCTGAGGTGATAAATCTTTACTACTATCTTTGCCCCATCTTCCTTCCGAGGAGCAACTGGTGGGTTTGAACCACCAACCACCAACCTCTCAAATGCCTTAGTCACTGCACCACCAGAGCTCCTTTTAGGGCCCTTCCCACTGCCATAGACATAGTCCTGTCCGACTCATAGCAACCCCCTCTTTGGGTTTCCGAGGTATTATCAGTATGGAAGTAGAGTGCCCAAACCTTTCCAAGGAGGGTTTGAACGGCCAGTCTTCTGGTTAGCAGTCAAATGCCTTAGGCACTATGCCACCAGAGCTCCTTTTAGGGCCCTTCTTGTCGTTGTTATTATGTGCCGTCGAGTCAGACCTGACTCATAGCGACTCCTTCTTGGGTTGCTGAGGCAGTATCACTAGGAAAGTAGATTCCCCAACCTTCCTTCCGAGGAGTGGCTGGTGAGTTTGAACCGCCAGCCTTCTGGTTAGCAGTCAAGTCCCTTAGGCACTATGCTACCAGAGCTCCCTTAGGACAGGCCTAAGGCATTTGACTGTTAATCACAAGGTTGGCGGTCCAAACCCACCAGCCACTCCATGGAAGGAAGACTGGGCAATCTACTTCTGTAAAGTTTAACCACCTTGGAAACCCAATGGGGGTCACTACGAGTCGGAATCAACTCGATGGCCCTGAGTCTGGTTTTTGGTTTGATGGGACAGTTTTAACATGGGTGAGGTGGGACTTCTCCCTCGGCTGTGGTGGGCAAGGAAGGCCAGGGGAACAGTGACCTTGGAGGCTCCTTTTTCCACTTCTCTGGGTCCCTGGAGGAAAAGGAAGGGACGGGGTGGGGGCATTCTTTCCCCTCAAACGTGGCAGCCTGGACCCACCATGCCTCCTCTTAATGGGGTGGGCCAGGCAGTGCACAGACAGGAGGTGTTACAGCAGGGCCCACCAGGTGGCGCTGCTGCCTCAGCCAAGGAGCTCAGTGGAGCCCAAAGTAGTTCTGAGGCTACTCCAAGCACCTCAAAAGCCCCAGGCCTGTGGGTCTCTGTAGTCCTGTGGGAACACTTGTGAAAATTCAGATTCCAGGTCCCAGGAATTCTAATGCAGATGTCAGGAGGGGCAAGAAGTCTGCATTTTTAGCAGTCCTCTGAGGTGATGTCTAGATTCATGTGGCTTTAGTTTCTCAGACCCTGGTAAGAAACAACCTCAAACTGGCTCCCCAAAGAGAGATGCTGGGAATGGGGAGCTGAGGAGGGGTGGCCTCCAGCTAGAGGCCTTGTCCTCAGCAAAGAGGAGGCACACCTAAGGATGAGGTCTAACTCTTGATCTGAACCTAATTTTCCCCAAGATTTTCTGTGGCTAAAATATTGGCAAACCTACTTTCAGGCTTGTAGGAGGTGCCACGCGCAGGTCTGGGGCGGAGGAAGTCTTAGGCTCCGTGGGGGGCTTTTCTCTGCCTCAGTCGGGACTCTCCCTGCAGCTGCTTACTGTGCTCTGAGGCCTGGGGGCTGGGAATGATGCTGCTCCCAGCTTATTTTATTTATAACCTACCTTATTCCACAAAGGAAATAACATATAGTAAAACATAAATAAAACATTAACAGGGAAAATGTAAATTTATGAGCAAGTGTTGACTTAGGTGAAATAAACATAACTGAGTAGCCCATGAGGTTAATTACCTGGTGATGACAAATGTACTCTAAGTATGTCTGCACTCTTCATGGCTGTGTTCACAGCAGACATTACTAATTGATCACAGTTCATTTGACTGCTAACCAGAAGGCTGGCACTTCAAACCACCAGCCAGCCTCAGAAGGAAGACTGGACAATCTACTTCCATAGAGATATAGCCTTGGAAACCCAAGGAGGGAGTTGCTATGAGTCGGAACCAAGTCAATGGCAGTGAGTTTGTTTGGTCTCATTCTCTTTGCCTAGCTGCACATCCCTCTGGCAGACATCACTAATTGCAGCCTCAGAGTCCTCCTCAAAGCAATACTGTCGGTCAATGTAATTGGAATACAAAATGAAATTGCTGTCCTTGAGCTTTCGTTGTCTATTTGAACCATTTATAATTTTGTCTCTGAGCTTCCTGGTGGTCAAGGGAAAAAAAAAAGGGAACATTTGTCATTCCATAGCACTTGTTTCCCAAGTTTCCTTGGGAAAGCAGTTTTCCTCATGCTTATCTGCTGGGAGGAATGCGGCTAGCTGGAGTCTAGAATTCAAGACAGACAAACTATTTGATACTTCATGACTGGAGCCTGAGAAGTTATTGGGCCAAAAAACATAAATGAGCCTACTGTGTGCCTGTCCTGGGCTGGTTGTAGGGACAGAAGCTGAGCCAGCTGTACACGAGAAACTGGGAAGACCCAATGAAGGCACAGGAAACAGCTGGGTGACAATCTTCTATGGTAGTTGGTGCTTGGATAGCACTTGCTCTGGGTCATGTTCCACTGAAATGTGTTAATTGGTGGCACAAGAGTTAAGTGTTCGGCTGCTAACTGAAAGGTTGGTAGTTCAAACTACCCAGCTATTCAATGGGAAAAAGATTTGGTGATCTGTTCCCATAATTACCTTCTGGGAAACCCTGTGGAGCAGTTCTACTCTGTCACGTGAGTTGCTATGAGTAGAAAATTGACTCAACAGCACCTAACAACAACCGCCCTGTGGGAGGGCCGTGGTGGTTCAGTGGTAGAATCCTCACCTTTCATGCGGGAGATCTGGGTTCGATTCCTGGCCAATGCATCTGGAGCACAAGTACCACCAATCTATCAGGAGAGGCTGTGTCACTGTGATGCACAACAGGTTTCAGCCGAGCTTCTAGACTAAGATGGATGAGGGAAAAAGGCCTGGTGATCTCCATCCAAAAATCAGACAGCAAAAGCCCTGTGCGTCACAACAGTCCAGTCCTGTTGTCACCACAGCTTAGGGACCAATTCAGCAGCCCCTAAAGCAGCAGTCCTTTGAGAAGCATGTTCGCATTATTCCCATCTTACAGATGAGGACAAGTCTCAGAGGTCAAATAATTTCCTCAACATTCTGTTGTTGGTAAGAAGGCAAACAGGGAGTCACACCATGGCTGGGTGGGCTGCACGGTCTACACTCCCAACCCCAGCCTCCATAAACCAAAA